CGGAGACAGCCTACACCTCTGGTGGAGAACCCACTGAAGATGAGTTCACAGAGGACGCCATGGACACAGAGGACACCATGGATGTGGACGATGATGGTGTCATCGCAACAGTTGAAGATTGGGACCCCATTGGTCAAGAAATGGCAACGTACAGAGTTCTTCGACATCGATCTCAAGCATTTCCTGGAGAGGAGTACTTCCTGGACATTGATGGACGTCTTGAACGCCATGGAGGATTTGGAAGCTTGAGTGGAGAAGAATCTGAAGAAGAACAACCTTCTACAGCAGATGACCAACCTGCTGAAGAACCTGAAGGCAGTGGATCTGAACAAGTTCTACGTGTGGCAGGAGAACTTGGTGATGAGGTGACGGACGCAGTTCGAGAACTTCGTCGACACGCAGGCCTACTTCAAGAGCTGGGTGAACACTGTGAACACCCAGAGTGCTACATGGAGTACAACATGCCTGGCATTGTGTTCTGGGTGAATCCAGACACAGGTGAGATCCAGATGCACCGACTCCTCGACCTCGCGATCGACGCCCCTGAAGATGGCGAGGAGTACTTCATCGAGAACCCCAACTGGATGAGAGATGGTGGAAAATGGTTGATCAGGCGACTTCACTATGAGCCTGAGCCAGAAGAGGAGATCCCTGAGTCTCCAAGAGGCTATGGCTGGGCCCTTGGAACAAGAGAGTGGATGGACCACGCGCGAGAAAGGAGAGCGGCTGCAGAACGAGAAGCTCTAAGACAACAAGTCGAGCAGGCAGAAGCAGCTGGGCTGAGGCAAAGGCGCTGAGGAGCAATCAACGCATGAGAGCAATCTCTGCTGGTGAACATCCACCTGACAGAGAAAGCTGAGCAATCAATGCCAAAGAACACCAACCTGGCAAAGAGCTGAGAGTGTTTTGTTGCTTGGAGCTTCAACACGCTCCATGCAAAGGAGGAGTGTAACACTCTTCACATGAGATGTTCACACTAGTACCTCCATGTGCAAGTCACATGTCGAGATGACAACACACCTGGTCTTTACAGGCCGCAACCGCTCAAGCGAAAAGAGCGTGAAGTGTTAGATTTTTGAATATAATCTTCACCTGCACTGCACGAGGGGTGCAAAGGGAAAAACTTATGTAACAACAAAAAACAACATAGTTGCTCAATCTTAAATGATGTATATTAGGTACGAAAAACAATCATGAAACACTACACTATATATATATATGGCACCCGCTTTCACCTCAAATTTGCTACCAGAAACAATGTACATAAAGCACCGTAAGTACCAATCAAAACTAAAAAGGTAAACATTTTGGGGGGGTACCATATATAGTATATGTTTTTTGGTAAATTGTACCATCTCGCAGAGGAGGGTTGCAGCAATGCTGGTGGCCAGGCAAACGTCCAAGGCGCCACGTTTGTGGACTTTAGATGCTTCAAGCGGTGCCAGTAGGCCCAAGGCCAGGATGGGCAGTGGGGGTATTTATACTACCATGCATGCAACATATGCCAGCATACTCATGAGGGTCATGGTTGCTTGAGGTTAGAAGCTAATTAAAAGCTGTAAATGCTGCAGTTTGATCTTTGTATTGCAGAATCATGTTTGGGTCAGCTGGCAGCGTGCAGGACCAACTAAATCAACAACCCCCTTGAGATCCAATGTGCTATATACTCATTGCCTACTTAATCCACAATCTCCACTCGGCTTGACTCGGTGGCGTTATTTTTTGGAAATGACTACCGGTGCTGCTTTTCGTTGCCATTCATTATTGTGTCATGTTTTTTTCCACCGTGGTGCACAATTGCTTCGGCAGGCGGAGCCTTCAAACAGCTCTAGATTGAATGAATCCGGGACACTGCCCCAGTGCTTTTCCATATTCTCTGGAAGAGAATGGCAGATTTGACTGAGTGCAATGGGCAGAGAAAAGCCGGAACAAGGAAGGCATTGAACAAGTTGCCTTCTTCGCGAGATTTCCTTTAGTTCGCTGCGTAGCAATGCAGAAACACTAGACTTCAACAAACTTAAAGCTTACTCAATTACTGTGGATGATTCTGATGCCTCACAATAGGTTCATGCTGCTAGGTGTGTTGGATTTAATTCGCAGCCCGAGCCAACAGACATTCATGTGGTCCTTCCTTACTGTTTGGCCCGACTTGGACCTCAGTGCACGATAACCTGTGCTTGACAAAGAACACACAGTTTGCTTACTAAACTGTTGGCTTGGACAATGTGGTCAATGCGTGTGAATATCGCACGCTGGCTGATAACAAGCTCACTTGCCTTCGAAAACTATTGGCTCATAATCCTTGGAATTTTGTCAGTGCAGTGCGGTCTTGCAAGCAATCTGACTATTTGCAGTCGAAACGAGATAGCTTTCTTCACAATCCCTTGCTACAAGGCTCGGCTGAGTCTTATCTTAAGATGTCAGGGGCAGAATGGTGCATTGACCGGCAATGGGAAGCAGACTCCCCAAAGAAATGCATGGACATGTGCAAACTGCGAAACACCGGCATTCTGCAGGAGAGCCCCAAGACATCCGAGCAACACAATGATCACTCAGGCTGCAGTGCCATTGGCGCAGTGCACTTTTCGCAACAGGGAAACAGAACAAAACCAAAGAAGCATAGTGCTCCAGGTGCAAGGAACAATTGGGTTCATGTCGTCAAGTATTCGCAGGTGAGAGAGCCCATAAAACAGTCACTGACAGCCACTGACACAAGGCACAATCCACTGGCAAGGTCATTCCCCGGAGACAGGTTCAAGCTTCGAAAGGAATCGAAAACACGAAATCCACGCATGAGAAACGAAGCAGTTGCTCAACAGGCAGACAAATTCAGATGGATTCATTGAGTCCTGACGCATGAAGTGCGCAGAAGTCTCAGAGTTTGATGTAAAGGATGCCCCAGAAACAGAAGGGAGCTCAAGGAAACATGCATTGAGAATGGATGCCACGACCTCATAATTAGGTTGGAGGCCATCGCTACTAGCTTGGAGGCTACATCATTAGAAATGATTTACACTCCAAAGGCAGCGAGGCCCAAGCTGAGGAAGCCAGGCATTTGGACTTTGGGGTGTGAACACTTGCAACATACGGTAAGTGGCCAGAACTCATGAAGTGTTTGAATGTATTTAAGGTCTTGAACGTCTAGTGAGCGGCCCGTGAGGGGTACTGAAATTGATTCTGAGACCTAGGTGAAGCACAAGTAGTAATAATTGTAATTAGGCCATGGGGCAGCAGTGAAAGCAATTAGCATCTTGTTTGCTAGTGCTATAATCTATATATCGAATTTGATCATATTGATCACTAGTTCGGTTGCAGAGCAGTTTTTTATGGTTGGTAGATCGTATGGCAGAGTTCTACGTAGTCAAGCAAGGCAACATTGCAGGTCACGCGCCACAAGGTGGCTCCCAAATAGTCACTGTCAAAGCATGAATGGTCCCCCCTCGTGTAATCTCCACTTGTTGAGGAGCAGGCTGAGAGCATCCTGAGCTTTGGGTTTGAAAAGCACGGGTGTCAGTGCAACATATTGGTGCTTCTTTGTGCATTACGCTGGGGGTTGTTTGGATGTCACTGGAGAGGGTTAATTCGTGCCTTGCAGCAATGTTTGCTCGCATTTCCTACTGGCGTAATGTGTTGACTCACAAGCAGCGAAGCTGGACTTAGCTTCCGGATGCAAACCCTCAAGCAACTTATGAACAGGATGAGGCACATGAGCTCGACCAATTTGCACTTGCCAAATTATACAATATTCTATACACACATCACATCAAATTACACATCCATGATCATTTGAATCGCCTTTGCTGACAAAGGACGCATCGCAGTGAACTTTCTCAAGACACAACTGATTGCAAGAGTGCTTGCACACGATACAAGGATGTCGGTCAGTTGCGAAAGCTTTCAGCCAGAGTTGACCCCAAACACCCTTTTTTCCTGCACACAACTACGGCCAGAAATCACCATGCGGAGTCGCTTGCGATGCCGACGGACCACAATCGGTGCGCCGGGATCTACTGTATAAATGTCAATTCTATATTGCTAGAACATTCCACTGCTTGCTGCAGATCCAGTATCGTCCAATGTCCTTCAGATCACTCGTGACAACTGTAATGCATCTTCTTGTGGAAGCCCCCAAAGAATGTCGTGTCAAGACAGCCTATGCGATTGCCCACCTACAAATGTGCCCACACCCCATTGCCCCATCTTCTCCTTGAGGTCCAAGGCACTCTTTGGTGATCTCCGCGCCAGAGGAAGCGCCAGTGCAGGAGACTCATGGACTTCCTGAAGAATTGATGAAGTTTGAGCCCCAGTTCCTTTTAAAGCAGTTTCTCAAAGTTTCTCCCACAATCATGATCAGCACCAATTAAATAATGGAGGTTGCATTCGCAGTATGTGGTAGTGTAGTGAGTTTGCCTTCACCTCGGACATGGGAGTGTGTTTGTTTGCAACTGTAGTCAAGTCGCGGGCAATGCGCCAAATACAGGAACTCCTTGTTGCCGAATCATCGCTGATTGGTACTATTAGGCTTAGTTTTCCCAACATTCGGCATACATATCAAACATGCATATGTTCTTGATGAATGTGATGCATTGCAGAGCTGGCCGAGGCGACTCCCCGCAGCAGCTTCGGAGCTGGAGCTTCGGGCAGCGGCAGCAGAAGTGGTGTCGTCAGCGCTCACAGTGCTGGACACTTTGCTGGATGATCAATATTATTTTTGTGGAAAGTGCTGGGTCCCTGAGGGTCCCTTGTAATGGAGAGGGGCAGAAGGTATCAGAAGATTCAAGGTCAATTTGAGATAGTAGTAGTATAGTATTGTAGCTGACTGGTACGGATCCTTTATGGAAGCTTTTCGCAAGTGCTTGTCAGATTTTGTGGTTGAACAGGTTCCAAGGTTTGCTTGACTTGTCATGCGTAAGTTCTGATGTGTGTTGTTGGGTCGTTCCAAGCTTGAAGCTGAGGATCATCGGCACTTCATACGGGATTTGGACAGTGTTTGGCCAACAATGAAAGCCTGCAAGCAGCTGGGGTCTTCAGAGATCCTTACTTTAACATCTGCATTAAAGGAGGCTTTGGCATGTCGCCTTTGCGAAATAGCGCAAGCCCAAAGCCTGCCGCGCAGAAAAGTGCTAGTGCCTTGATTGAACACCAAGGTAGTTTCATTGTCCGATTGACATAGACATAGGCCAGTTGGTGAACTCTTTTCGATCAGGTAGAGCACAAAAGAATGATGCAAGCACTCCTGAAGTTTGAAGTCAACTTAGCCGATAAACCAGAGCCCCCCCAAAAATCAACTTAAACTCAACACCTTCGGGCAGGGGCGCAGTAGAGGCTAACACCTGAACCCACAGACGCATGTGCCCTTCACCCTTTAAAGGGAATATGGCCCTCCATTCCAATCCTTTGAGAAACAGAACCCCGGAAAGGGCCGACCCAAGGCGCTCTTCAACTTCATGGCCGAGTTGTGCTGGGCCAACTATGTTTCACCTTCAGAGCATGTTATCCACCAAGCCATTATATTCTTGCTGGACACTGCCAGGGCTTGCAGTAATGCAGGGCAGAACGATCCTGCCAGTTGGTGAATTGCTGCACGCAATTGGCAATTTTATATGTGTTTTCCTATAATTTGATGACGGGGTCAGATCAACCCTAGAGGGTGCAATTTGAACATATCTTGGAATATATATATATATATCGCATAGGCACTTAACGACATAATGTTCACATCGCAAAATAAGCCTCCCCCTAGTGATTTGTTGGGTGCCAACAAAATTGTTCGTCGTAACAATGAACTACTCGGAAAAAACTCAGACCTTAAGACATCTTAAGACTATAACAACTCTTCTATTATTGTTCAACTTGATTGACATTGAACAAAAAAGTGTAATTCAATAACTAATTGGTTCAATCTGGAAAGACTTTTTTTGCAATTGTTCAAAAAGTGTCAGAAAGAAGTATACTATTGTACAGGATAAAGTCAGATTCATTTTTGCCACCTAAGAGACAGTTGACAATTTGACAATGAAAGGAAGTTTTGTAATTGACAATCGTTTATAATTGTATGTCATTGGCACCCATAAGGGGTACTGTACCCTTTGTCAATCTTTGTCAAAACCTTTACATTAACATTGTTTTGAGGATGTAGTAAAGAATCTATAGTTTTCGATTGGCTAGAAGATTTGGGTTTGATTGCCTTTTACAATGGATTGAAAAAGAAGCTCATAAAGAAATAAACACATCAAATTACTCAATTGATTGATTTTTTAGTATGGTCTCGAGGCCCTGAGCGATTTAGGTTTATATTTGGCGGGTAGTTTTCGATCGTGGACATTATATGATATCCACCGATATTATATTACAAATACCTTTGCATTATCTTGGCCAAGATCAATGCAAAGCCGCAAACCTGAGGTATGTTGAAGGTTGTGCTTACTTTGTGGCCAAAGTGGGAGAGATTATGATGCTGAATCCACTGGAAGTCTTCAACGTCCTGGATCCGTTGTCAGCCCGCCACTTGACCGTCTTGAAATTCTCAAAAAAAAACCTGCTTACATACAGTACTTTTTGCAACGACTATATTTAGTAGCAAGGGGCAGGAAGGGAGCCTTGGTTTTCCTGCCGTTTTGCGGATTTTGCTACAGTGATGAATAGCCTAATTGCATGCATGTGAAGGTGTGGCCTGCTTAGCGCGACAGCTGCCCAGAAGAACAATGCGCTTTATTTGGATCCTCTTGCAGCGGCGTCAGCGGTTGTGGCGTGGAGCACTATATCTCTCTGTAAGCTCCAACTATTGGCAAGAATGGGCACGTTCACGCTTGGTCGCAGATCTGCAGACCAGTTTGTAATTCTTTTCTATTCTTGTTCAATGATGCCCACAACACATGTACAAAAGGATGCTTTCTTGTTCCAAGACCATGTCATGTGGGCATTCCCATTTGTTTTCAACAGACACGTTTTAGTTCAGTCAAGCTTATTCTCATCATGGTTGCACACACATACACATGTATGTGCTGTGACTGTTTACTCAGAGCCAGAGGCTGGGGAAGACAAGACAAGACATACTCAAACAGCGGGGCACGAAGATCTTGTACTGGCGGAAGCAGACCAGACTTTTGCCATGAGCAAGAAGCTACTAGGGGCTCCTGGCCGTACTACTAGGAGCAAGGACGCTACTAGGGGCAGCCCAAGGTTCACAGTCTCACAATGAGATTCATTTTGTTCTGAGCCTGACCAAGTGCAGCCCGTGTTTGGCAGGAATTTCGTTTGCCACAAAGGGCAAACACACCAGAAAAGAACAGCCAATGTGTGTGGAACCTGTTGTTGGTCACCAACCCATGAAACAAACCCTTGGAAAGGGAAGGAAACACTCCAGTGCCAGGCCGTTTGCAAAAATCTCAACCTTGGCAATTAAACACTTTGGGTTTGTTCGACTTGCAAGGGTAGAAGGGTGTGAAACTTGAAAGCTCGCAGGATGCATTGTCAATAAAAGTTGTCAAAGTGCTGCCCATCAGCTTCAACAGAAATGCGTTTTGCTCACAAGGGTGCTTGTGGATATCTACTGTACATAATCATATGAATCATATCAGGATAACAAGATTGTCCTATGATGCCCTATATGAGTTACTGTAATGAAACAGAGTTCAAGATGCCCTTTGATGGCGGTGCAAAACTAACAAAAATCATTTGATGTCACCAGTTGCCCATATTGCTTTGCTTTCATCACTATAATTTGGGACCCTGAGCACGGCACATTCAAATATGACATGGACAAATTGTTATTTAAAATTAGAAAGACGGAGAGAGAACTGATAGTGAAAGACGGTATTAAGCAAGTAGGAATCTGGAGGAAAGCGGCTGAGTTCAAAACAAACACACTGCAGTGGTCTCAGCAGATTGGCTTCGAAAATCCAGATCTCACTTGCAAGCAAATGGACAAGAAGCTTGTTTCATGTGAACACGACAAGCTCGGAGTTGGGGCGAAGCCACCCTGGGCACATCATTTTTTGGAAAATGTTATATCTAGTTTCGGCCCGATTCATTACGAAAGCCAGCCGATAGGCAAGGCTTGAGCTTTTAGGGCGAATGAAGTGAGTTTCGGGGGTGTGGGGGTGGGGTGGTCGCTGAGTGGAACCTTTGATAGGGTGAACCCAGAGCTTGGTGGGGGAGAGCGCTCCAAAGCGAGGGTCCGAAAAGCAGTGAAAATGGGGTTTGGTGATGCGAGTGATGTAATGGACGCCGAGTAGTGCATCATTTGCAGCATGAAGGGCTTTGAACACTATTTGGACAATGGGCAGAGGGGACTCGAGTGGAGACAGGGGCCCACGTAATGAAGCGGCAGCTGGCTTTCGTCCCCCCTTCTCAGGTTTGTCATTTCCCCTTTGGCCCGTCCAAGAAACCTGCATGTGTGGAGTCCGGCCAGGGTGGGAGAGAATCATAGCGTATGTTGCTTCACCCTGCGGTACCTTAGCTAAACCAGCAGTAGTGTAGTGCAGCTCCGTGACTACGTGAGGTGCTGGTTGCCCATGCGAAAGGCGATCCACGTGCCTGTCCATTGGCTGCGCTGCCATGGCCAGCATGCCAAGCAATAAGGAAATTCATGTGCGAGCGCAACGCATTTGACGCCGCAGAGGTCGTTTGGAAGATTGCTGACGAGCCTGACTCTTGAAGCATTTATTGTGGTTTATAGTTGTTGTTTTTACATGTATTTCTATGTATCTATTCAATAACTATGCCTTGGTTGAACGGGATCGTGGCCTATCAATGTTTATAACGACTGTGGCAGGTGTAGGAGGTTGGCATGTCAATTTCTGCAAAGTTTTTGTCGGCCATGACAGGACATGCCTTTCACAGACGATTGGCTCAAAGACTTCATCGAGCAACTGCCAGCAACACCCAAGGCACGGGAAGGCCGCTAGATGGAACGAGAGGGGTCAGTTAGGGTGGAAGGGTAGCCTTTGGGCGGGGTACCGCTGCGAAATCGCAAAAGAATGAATCAACTGGCAATCGGGAAAAGTTATTGGAACATATTGGAACGGTATCGGATGATCAATCCATCAGATGTCCCTGCCTTGCAGCAATCGACTGGCCAGTAGGGTCACCAATCACATGCACTTGTTGCGGATGCATAGGCACCACATACCGGACAGGCCGTAGCAAGTATGGTTCAGTTAGCGGTTCAATTTACAACTCCTTGAGGACAAGCAATGAAGTTGGCTTGCACTTGACCAAGGCAGCGAGTGCAGCGAAGCCAATTCGCCAGTGTCACCCATGACAGCAGATGCGGATGATTGAGCTCGAATCCCTGCCATCCTTCTGCGTGTTTGCTAGCTGATTGCCTTAGTTTCTTTGCTGTGTTCGGGCAGCCAAATCTGTGCTGGCTGATGAATCGCCTGGCCTGTACACTACTGCAAATGACTTGTCAACCCTCACGAAGGGAAGGTTGCCTGCAGGGGCCCGTTGTTGGCTGACCACCACGAAGAGTGGACACGTGCCACAGAAGAATTATGAAGAATTCCATCTCCTTCAGGCTGCCTGAAAAACTGAGATATACTGTTAGCCCGCTCCCTCCCTCCATACTTAATTAAGTAGACGCCTACTTAGTTAAGTAAGGAGAGAGCTAGTACCTTACTTAAGCTACTAGTATGGATGCAGGATAGCTCACGCTTCTTCAAGGAAGCTCCACCCCCTGCCGCCCTAAAGGCGGCCGGGGGGAGCTTCCTTTTTTTTTTTTGCTCTCCGGCCAAGACGTCGGGGTCTGTGGCAACCTCCCTGCATTCTGCAAGAAGGTCACAAGTAAGACAACCAAGTCGCTACAAGAGCGAGTCGAACGGCATGTTCCAAGTCGAAGGAGATTGCTTAGCACCTTTCGAGAAAGCTCTGGCCAACATCTCGAGGGCAGGGTTTGGCAAAAAGGCTTCGGCGCCCACGAACACACCTTTGGGAAAGGTCTTGCCGTTGCTTTTATTGCCTTTCTCCAGCGACAAGGGAGCCACCACAATCTGCTTGAGTTTGCAAAAGGCCAACCCTGCACGAATCAGGGTCGCATATGCTTGTGGCGTACACAAGGTTCCCACCTGGTGTTGGAATCTCCATCCCTCGATGAAAGCCAGGACGGCCAACTCAAAGACCGAGCAGGCATAGCCATCACCCACTCTCCATTTGACCGAGCTACAGAAACGAAGGAATGTCCGGAAATTTGCTTCGCTCAATGAAGGAGTTGCGCGAAAGGAAACATCCAGATCAACTTGGCTGTGCCAAGTATAGAGTGCAGATGATACATCCCACGGCCATCTAGGGCACATCTCGCGAGCAGTGAAAGGTACAGGAGCTTGAGCAACTGTCTCCCCAGGGCATGAAGTGTTAGCAGCCGGTTTTTTACAGAAGCGGTTGCATTTGGAAAGCCATAACTGCCGCGCAAAAACATCTGCTTCTTTCATGACAATATCAGCCTTGATGTCACGAGCAGCCTTCTGAATGTGGTTTTTGGCAACAGTGTCAGCCAGCCGGTTGAGAATAATATCTTGCCGCGAAGAGCCAACTCTCACCGCTTGCTCTTCCGTGACCATGGAGCTAGGAATGTGCTCCAATAGATGCGCAGGGCACCAGATCAGTTGGAGGGGGGAGTCATGGAAAATCCTCCTCTGGACCAGCAAGTTGTAAAGAAAATTCCACCAATTTGCATGCGTCCATTCCAACTGAACCACACCATCACCAAGAAGCGACGAGAACTGCTGAACAATAGTGAGGGAATCTGTATGGATGACCAGTGGTTGCGGAGCCATGGCAAAAGCTACTAAAATTGCCCACAATTCAGCAGAATAGCTTGATAGTCTCCAGTGATGGACACTTCCTGCAGCTAGCACCGATTGGTCTGACCCAACCACTGCGAAGGCAGCTAATGCAAGCCAAGGGTAATTCGTGAGCTGCACCGACCCGTCAGTCCAGACATGGCCAACTGAAGAAAGAGGACCCATCCATTGAGCCACCTGTACACGTGACGGGCTGGAGCAGACAAGTTTCTTCCGGATAGTCGCAAGCGGGAGCTCAACAATGCCAAGCATGGGGAAATTGGGCCCCATGGAAAAGGCAGTTGACGGCTGTCGCAAATCTGCTGGAAGGTGATCACACTCGTCAACAAAGTGCTGTATGGATTCCTTGGGCGCATCACAAAACCTGCAGTGAGGCCGATCAACTAAACCAGCTGCTGCTAAGCGGTCCGCTGTAAGTGTGCGTCCAACTAAGGCACTCTCCCAATGAAAAAGAAAAGAAAAGCCATCATTAGGCACACTCGCCAGTTTTTTCTTGGCTGAGAGCGTCCAGGCAAGGTCCAAGAACCCAGAAGCAGTATAGATGTCCTTGCGCGGCATCAAACACGCTGTCTGATAACACTTGTTGGCAGCTAAGCTCTTGAGCACGCATTTCAAGTCCTTCACCGAAAAGTCAAGGAAGTGTACTGGGGCTGATCCAAACACAGAGAACTGAGTCATCCACGCTTGTGCAGTAAGCTGATCTTGATCAAAAAGCTGTTGCCATTGTTGGCGGGCAGAGGGAGATTGTTGCAAGAAACGAACAGACTCCACAATCGTTGTCACTGCTCGGCACAAGAAAGGATCTAATTTATGGGCCTTGTGTATAATGCACAGCAACAGGTGCTTGGAGCGCCAGCGAGGTCGGTCCTGCCACAGCGCATCCGCCACTGCACTCTGCAAGCGAGCCAACAAACGCTTGGGAATGAAGTTCAGTTGGGGTGCAAAGGCAATCTGAGGCAGAACTTTCGTTGCCAAGATCTGGGCACGTTTGTAGCTGTCGCACGGCAAAGCACGAATGGACTCACAGTCTCTGAGTGCATTCTGAAGCTTGGCAACCGGGAAACTGCCCACATTCTTCTTCGTAGTTTGGACAAAGGCCCCCAATATGTTGACCACCTCAACCAATTTCATTTGGGGGAAAGCCTGCTTAAGAGCCTTGCGGAGAGAACTGCTCGTGGCGAAAATTTCACACTTGCTCGTGTTGAGGAACTGTCCACAAAGCGAGTCCCACAATTCAGTTGCTCGGACTGCAGCGACAAGCCCATCAATGGTGGATTGACGAGTCCACAGATATGTGTCATCTATGAAAGCTCGAAAAGCGACACCATCAATCTTGCAAATGATCCAGGCCCAGATAGCAATGTGTATATTAATGCAGAGTAAGCTGAGGGAACATCCCTGCACAACACCATTTGGCATGGAAATCGATCTCTCCCTAGTCCATTGTTTAAAGGAGAGGAATCGGGTCATTCGGGTATAAAAGCCCAAGAAACCTCGCACCAGTGTGGCAGGGAGGCCCAACGCCAACATAATTGCAGCACATAGTTTGGGCATCAAGCGATCGAAGCATTTTGACTTGTCGAGCTTCAGTGCTGCAAAGGATCCTTGAAAGCTATGAGCGTGGTCGATTTCCAGCTGCAAGGTCATGTGTACTTCGGACATCTGTCTGGCTTTGATGCCTCCTTTGAGTTGGGGAGGCATCACCTGTTGCTGCCAAGTCTGAAGCTGCAGGAAACGGAGCCCGGTGTACACCAAGGTAAAAATAGACTGCAGCGAGATCAGGCGTTTGGACAAGGGAGCATCACTGCCATCCTTATTCAAAATGATCATCCTCACCTGAGTAAGAATCGTCGGAAAGTCAGAAGTGCCCGCTTCAATTTCGTTGAACAAGGCAGCAACCGGTCGGAAAGCTATAGGAGGAAGAGCTTGTACCTCACGGGTGTTCCACCCATCCAAGCCAGCAGCTGCATCAGGTTTACGACGTGCAGCTTGCTCCCAGAGTTGAGTCTCCGTGATGGGCCCCAACACAACAGATTGACCCTTGTCGTGAATATAGGGCCAAACCTGCTTCAAAATCTGCATTTCATGTTGATGACTGGCATTGACAGAGAAAACGGTGTCCCATTTCTCAGCAATAGTGTTCATTGCAGTCTGCGGGTCATAGACAATGTTGCCATCGTCATCCTCCACCAAATTTTGAGGAAGAACACGGCCTTTACGCTTGAGATACTGATACACAACTTTGCCAATAGCCAGCGAGGTAGTGGCATTCTTCATCGCTTCCCGCCACTTCCGGATTGCTGCCTGTTTCATCAGCTTGAGCTCCTCAGTGATGGCCTGTAAGGTCAAATCAGTCAAATGAGGCAGATCAAATGCAAATACCTGGTGCATATTCATCGGAACAAGTGAGGCTTCTTTGAGTCGGCGCAGCAGCTTTTTCTGCGTGAAGAAGAAAGTTCGAGAATCAGCCTCTCCAGTGCAGGCTCGACCAAATCGATATGTCAACTCACGTAGCGAGCGAAGGCATGCCCGAAGCAAGAGAAGTCGAGGCGAAGTAGGATTTCCAGAGAGCTCCTGTGGTGTAGCGATCTGTGTCTTCCGAAATTTGGGAAGACGGCCTCGGGCACGAGGGCCTTTTTCCCATTTTGCACCGTGCTGCAAGAGCACATCCAGGGCAAATTCATTGAAAAGACCCCATTTGCTGTCCGACGCAGGTTCAGCCTGAAATCTTGTTTCATATTGCAACCAGAGTTGCTCACATGATTGATTGTATGGGCAAACCGGATCTGAGGCATCACATTTAGGAACTTGTGAAACATCAAGCATGGCAAACTTCTGGAGAATAGTGCCAGCTTGTTGAATACGATCCCAAGCAAAAGTAGCTTGTACTGGACGATGCTGACGATCACGATGGTCCAGAACTTCGATGCGGACTAGGGCGGCCAATGCAGTTCGATTCATCAAAATGCCATCAATGGACGACTGGCCCTCACCATCAACAGTTGCAGCTTGCTGGAAAAAGGTATGAGGCCGGAATACCTCCCCAACTTCATTTGTTTGTAACAGTGGATCTGCCCACCCCCAATGATCCAAAGCAAGTTGGACAG